TTTTTAAGATTTCCATTTAGAAGTTTTTTAAAATGTGTACATTAAAATGAACCCAGTTAACTAAAACTTGGATTCTTAAGAATTAGTACCCGAGGTCATGTCAGTTATTGTCTATAATTAGCCTCGCAGTTCACACTCTGCCATCACCAGTCGAGGTGGCAATAAAACTATAATTTTTCCCTGTATAATTAACTATTGTAGCCTATGTTAGAAGATGTGTTATTGTATCTGGTCTGCAAATTTCGTAGTTGGGGTGATACAATATACATATTCAGTGCACTATGAACGTTACTTATTTTTACAAGTAATGAAGTGGTAATCTGTAAAGTTTTAAAGAAATATAATATTTTATTAATTACTAGGATTGACTACTCAACGATTTATATTCATAATTAAAGATAATAAAGTCTGGACCAACAAGATACTAACGAATAGACTTGGTTAACGTGCTTCTAGTAATAGGTAGGGACTGAAAACCCAAAGTATATGTTATATTTTGTTCAAGAAACCATCATTGATGTATTAGATCCTATTGAACTATAACATCGATTGCTGAAAAATGAACATCCTAATAGACTTGTCTAACAAGTCAAACTATCAATATATCACCAACTGTACCAGTATGAGTTCATTATATTTGGTTACTGTTACATATAAAAATATCTTTGTCAGCTGACATAAGATAATAAATAATAAACTTTGTGAGTAGTTATTACCTACTAAGGAAATATTTCTTAGTCATAAATCACTAGCCTATAAAATAACATTATTTTTGAAGCACTGTGTACTAGGGTTCACTCTTCAAGTGGAAGGAACCGAAACATCAATGGATGTATAATCAATGGATAAATAATATGAGGTATATGGACTGGATTTTAGTGGTGCATAAGATAAAGTACAATTTTTAATACCATTATTTATGATGTAAAATGATTCCTATGAGGAATTTATAAGTGACCAAGACATCATGTATTCAATCCCGATAAAATTACGATTGGAAATAACAAAATTAAACAACTATTTTATTATTAGAATTAGGGTTTGTGGATATTGCAGTAATTTTAATAGTTGAATTCATGAGTCGATGTAAGCTAGACCACTATTGAAAACCTGGAAATACTGGAAGGCCGTTTCATCCTACTACAGGACTCCTCAATAGTACGCATCCACCACCCCGCATCAAAGGGATTCAAACCCAGGACCTTCAGTCTGGTGAGTGAACACTTAACATCCAGATGAGTCTGTATCCAAAAATTTTATTGTATAACTTCAATCAATCCATGATCTTGCGCAACTCTCTATCCATTTTCTGAGGTAGATAACTGTCTCCAGTAGTCACAGCTTCTCATTAGAGCATCAACAAATCCATCTTGAAGATAGTCACTATTGAGCGCATGATGTGCTTCCAGGTTTTCAGTGGTGGTCTGGTTAACACCGATTCATGAATTCAATTATTAAAGCTATTTTATTATACAACTTGTTATTCTTGTACTGATAGTGTGATATAATTTAATAAAATACTAACTTCCACAAAAAGCACTTGAGTAAACATTGTTATACAATGATAATCACATTAAATGTTTCGACGTAGTTTAAAATTCAACATTACAGCTAATTTAAAACTGTTGGTTTTCATATCCCATTATAAAAATATTCCAGTTAATCAACAATCGTATATAGATATTCAAGATGAATCAAACACATTTCAAAAGTACCTATTATTTTACATAAATTGGTGTTATATCAATTATTCAGCAGAGTGAAATAATAATACATTCTTATTCAACGACCTTAAGGAAGTGGTTAAATTGATGATGATTGATTGTTTGCTTCGTCAGACTTGTAAATAGTCTGATAGGCGTTAGATGAGTTATATATTCTCTTATCCTTATTATTATTGATTGTTGTCAGTTTTTGATATGGAAATATATTTATATTCTAGTTAAGCTAATCACATGTTCTTGATCTGAGTTATGTTGGAGTCCTGTAGAATAGACACTGGGAGAGAAACTAGTGTAGATATTCGTCTAAGCTAAATTAACATCCGATTCATAAAGATAAAAAATCCCAACCGCTATAACTATATCACAACTAGACATGAAGAATATTTGCATAAAAAAGGCATTTATCTTAGCTTGTAAGTCATTATTATTATTGCCTTTATTCAATATTATATTTTTAGTACAATATAAAATTATCAGCACAAAGTATCTCATTAAGTTACCGTTTCTTATTTCTTGATCGATCTTTGCGATAAACATTGAGTGGTCACCAGTTAGATGTTAGCAGTTCAGGAATCGACATCTACATAATGTACATTGTTTTCGATATATATTCCCAGCCCTTCTGTAACTTGTACAGTGAAATGTCCTAAACTTTTCATAAACCCTCTTGAATAGGTTATACGACTAATAGGTATAATGATATGTTAGAAAAAAACAAGACAACAGATAACTTGTTGAAATATTCAGATGGCAGAAACAGGTAGCCCAGATATTCAAACAATTTGTTTATTCCAACACATAAATATTGGTACAAGAGGGCACCAAATATATATGCGCCACACCATATTTGTGTGTGTGGGCTGTGATACTGACCGGGTGTCCAGACCGAAACAGGTGGTTTTCTTAGGAGGCCACATCCCGAGCCTTTGACCTAAAGGTCTGACCCACAAGGCAGTGGAGCATCGTGAAGAGATGCAGTTCCATAGTAGCCGATGACCGAAAACTGGTTCATACGCCATTGGTTCCCTCAGGATACTGGAGCCCATGTGCACCATTGGTTTGAAATCCGGTTAAAGCGCCGGACATTCGCTTTTCGTCCTCTCATTTTCGTAAACAACACCCGCGCCACAAGAAGGCAGTGAGTAGGACTTCCTTGGTAGAGGCTGTATACGCGTGGCCGTGTGAGAGCATTTCGAGAGGGAGGGCGGGCACACCCCACTCCCGGCCCTACCAGGGCATTTGGGATGAGTTATATATTCTCTTATTAATAGAAATCTTCTTGGTTCAAAGTGTGAAACCTCTCTTTTTTGATAATAACCTATTATCAAACCCATCTTACTTTATCATTACATAATAATATTTGCATGGATATATAAATTAAATAATATTCAGTTAGAGATTTATATTTAGAAAATATATATATAAAGCAAAACCTTATTTAATTCTGCAATCAAAAAGAATCATAATACACAATTTAATTCCATAAAACAAAAACTAAAATCTCTATTTGACATTTAACGGAAGTTGGTTTCTTTTTTTTATTATAGAAAAAACATTTTTGTCAAAAACAAACAAAAAAATCAGTGGGTTTTTTTCATTTTGTAGAAACCAAAAAAAAACAGAAAAAAAACAGTCACTGCCATAAATTTTAATTTACGAATAATTAAAAATAAATTAAAATAAAACAATCAACACTTCCCTACTTTAAAATTACATACATCACTAATAGCAACCGTCATGTTGTAAAAACAAACAAACAAACAAACGAACAAGCAAACCAAGTTATTGCACAATGAAATTGATACTATTGTATACCATTGAATTGTTAACTTTTAACATGATAACATTAATATATGTATGGAATTCTTACTAATTAATTAGCAAAATATCATTTTAATACTGTTATTACAATTGAATTATTTTGTTTGTTGTTTTTTTTCTTCTAGAATGAAATACGTTGCAAAAATTCAATCACGCGCAAAAAAATGTTTTTGTTGTTTATGTTGTTGGAAATATGCTTTAATATAAGATAATCACCGAACTTCCGACAAGTACTAATATTATTATTATTATTGTTATCATTAGCTTGGCAGTACACGTTCCACTTCAATACATATTTTAAATGACATGAAATATGCACAATTTATTTATGCACATAATGAGGAACATTTAAGAGGAGAGGTGAATTACATGGATTTATAATTCATTTGAGGTATTTAAAATTAAAACAGAAAAACAAACCCTGATAGAATAACAATACTAAACAAATAATTACTATAGTATCAAATTAGAACCACTAAAGAGATAATAAATTCAATATTATATGATTTGGTATATATATGGAAGGGAGTAAGGATTAATTAACATAAATGAAAACCTCTTTGATTAAGGAGAATAACAGTACCAAAAAAAAGAATTAAAAGTTTTGATTAAAAATGCTTTAAAACGGAACTAGGACAACTTTACATATAAATAAATTTTTGGTTTCACAAGAATGAAGCTGTCAAAATGTTTGATCAACTGTAAAAATTTATACTACTACTACTACTACTACTACTAATAATAATAATAATAATAATAATAATAATAATAATAATAATAGTAACAATAATAATGACAAATCTTTATAATAACCAATACAGGAAACGAAATCATTTTAAACAAATATTAATTAACTCCATTTCATTACTAATTATGAAATTTGATTTAGAAAAAACAAACAACCTAGCCAAATGAAGTAAATAAGTTTGATATATGGTTTATTATTTTAATAATTCTTCCGAATCTAAATAACTCTGCTCGGAGCTATTTTCGAGTTTATGCCGATCCTAAACTGGCATAAATGTGAGTTAGGTGTGAGGTTAGCAACCTCATGCATAAAATAGAATTTTAACTAGAAAAAAAAGTATTTAAATGGTACCGACTTCAAATAGTTAACAGTAATAACAAATATTTAATAACGATTTTTGGAATGCATAAACAACTAATTTGTGACTGTTTGTTCGGTCTGAGTTGAAACTGCAACGGTCTTAAAAACAAGCTAGCGACCATTTGAATTCAGTATCTTAGTAGATAGACCAATTTTATTTGAGTAGACAAATACCGAGTCCGGATTCACGTGTGAACAGCAATATAAATGTAAGAGCATTCGTATGACAAGTGCGAATATTTAATGGATACGTCCACATCTGAAATGTGATCGAGTTTTTCTAGTTTATTAATAGCGAACCCTAGTTCGGAGACATATGCTTACTAAGACTTTTATTTTTAGATTTTATATTAAGCGAACTAACCCATTCACATTTATCACATGTAAATCCCTGTTCCTTTTTATAAACTGGAACGACCAGACATTGAGAGGTCAGATGACATAATGCCGAGTCCCCAGATTACATTTGATATCACAGTCAATATAACTGCTAAAAATGGACTGCCACCATTAAAAGATCTCCAGGATTAATTTTTCAATCCCTAATACTGTTCCTCTCATTCAATTAGATATGAAACTTATAAAGTCACTAAGAGTCAGGGGCTCATCTCAATCTGATTGTTTCGTAAATAAGTATCTTGAGAGTTGTCGATCGTTGGTTATTACCACTGCAGTTAAGACCTCTTTACCGTTCTATACCAACGATAATTGAATTGACTTTTAATCAGCCTACATTTACACTCCCTGACCTCTTCATATTCATAGCCAAAGTGGATGAATTACCACGTATCTGTCAATTCAGGACACGAAAGCCAGTGACTCTGAGATTCGACACTGTCTTCAGCGGTTTGGATATGTTTCACAAGTGTCATCTCAGCAGCTTTCATACCATGTATTATACGGCAGCGTTGGGATCGGGTAAAAGAGGTAGGACGATAACCAGTTAACCTAATGGTAATCCTGCTATAGTTTTCTTTTGAATTCATAAAAATGGAAGGAACTTCTTTAAGAGAAGGGGTTTTGTGGAGATTTTAGTAGTTTCAATAGTTGAAATCATGAGTCATTTTGAAAACGATGGAAAACCTGGGAGCACTGGACGACCGTTTTTCCTAATATGGGACTCTTCAGCAGTGCGCGCGAAACTGATAGGTCCTGGGTTAGAACCTCGCGGGGAGCGGGATCGTGGATGCTGAGTCCCATCCTAGGACGAAAAGGATATTCAGTGCTTCCAGGCTTTCTATGGTGGTCTAGCTTCAACTGACTAATGATTTCAACTACTGAACTCCTTCAACTCGAAGAAATCCTATATAATCGTGTTTTAATATGAAATTTATCTCTTACTAAATTCTATTTTTGTCTAGTTATTTCTTTTATATTTTACTTATCTTTCCTCTTCTATTTCTTTACAGTATTATCCTGCTTATTTGTGATGCCAAGATTATTTCTTTAGTTTCTCAATCGTACCAACATATAAGTACGTCAAAGAAGTAAAAGAAACGCTAATCAGCTGATTCTTACGAAATGTATTTTCCCACTTACCAGATGTGTAACAAAAAATATTGAAGTCAAACAATAAGACATATTTAACTGTATACACAATGCAATAAATTTATTGCAAAATTCAAAGTATTCACAAGAAGAAATAGAAAGTTATAATATACAAATTGTGTTGATATGACATACAAAAGGTAAGCAATATATGAAGTAATAATAATGATAATAATCCATTTGAATTCTTTCTGGAAATGAAGAACAGAAAAAAATTTAAAAAGCGCGGTTAAAAACCAAAGAAGTAAAGACATTAAATAAACAAACAGTATCAATCAGCATCTCTGTACAAAATATGATATTATGATAAACGAATACTGTCGTTAGAATTCTCTTGCTACTATTAATTAATTTGTAAGATGGGTTTACAGTTAATTATTGAAACAGCTAGTTAGTATTGCTTAATAATCAACAAAATATGCTTTGTCATTTTGCTATAATAACAGTCAGATCGTCAGATATAAAATGATATGGAACCAGGTAAAAATTATATATCGACACAAGTCACCAGGAAAATTTAACACAGTGATAAGAAATTAACAAAGATATTTCTATTTTTATTTATTTATTTTAACACAAAGATATTGGTATAAGGAGGCACCAAATATATATGTGCTACACAAATCTCGTTCGATATGTGTGAGGGCTGTGATACTCCCCAGGTGCCCAAACCGAAGCAGGTGGTTTTCTTAGGAGACCACAAGGCAGTGGAGCATCGTGAGGAGATGTAGTTCCATGGTAGCCGGTGACCGAAAATTGGTTCATACGCCATTGGTTCCCTCAGGATACTGGAGCCCATGTGCACCATTGGTTTGAAATCCGGTTAAAGCGCCGGACATTCGCTTTTTATCCTCTCATTTTCGTAAACAACACCCCCGCCACGAGAAGGCAGTGAGCTGGGGTTCCCTAACAGAGGCTGTACACGCGTGGCCATGTGAGAGCATTTCGAGAGGGAGAGCAGACACACCTCACTCTCGGCCGTACCAGATACGAATGAAGTTGAGAAATATATTGTAACATGTAAAAACGCTTAGTCTTAATGATGAGAACGTCCTAAAATGAAGTTACCATTATTTTGAAAATCTTTAATTACTGATAAATCAGACAACCTGAACGGCTCAAATGCTGTTTCAAGGCTACACGTTGAATAACCGATGGAAAAGTAGACGGGTTATTATAAGTATTGTTCACCAAACCAAAATCAACATTCATGTCACAGTTAGAAAAAGTTCGATAAATAATTTTTACCACAAAGTAGTGTATAATATAATACATGATAAATCTTTTCGAGTGATTTGTACAAACATTCACTCTGCTGAGTGATAAAACGTTAGATGTGTGTAAGCAACTGAATCAGACAGAACACAATACTGAAGAGAGTTATAACCGACGACCATAATATTGATTCATTTAAATAGAACCGTTTTAACCTAGAATCTCAAATCAATTTATTTTGAAAAATACTTGCATGAATAACATAATGATATATATATATATATATATATATATATATATATATAGTGTGTGTGTGTGTATGCATAAAGAAAATGTATGGGAAAGTACAGTAACTCACCAAGTGATTATTCAAAAAGATTAATCGTCAGAAACAGTACAACGTAGAAAGTATCTCCCATGTCTGAATATACAGTATTGCTTGATGAAAAATACAGGAAAAATAATACGAAATTCAGTTGTACTTTTAAACATAAGTGGTATAAAATATAAGAAATAGTATTTAAATAACTATTTTATGATGAAAAAAAGTAGTCAAATTGGCGACTAGCTAGTACTACTAGCCATCAATATAAAAGACGCTTGTCACTCAAAGTTAATTACAGAAACTTTTAATTAATTAGCTTTGTATTATATACAAAGATAAAAGATTGTAAATAGAACCGACGAAGTTATTTTTTCCTTAGGATATTTGTCTTACAGTGTAACTAGATTCGCAGCTACTTCTCTCCCGTTCTTCTTATAACCCTGATCGACTTCTAAATTTCATCACATTCTAAACGAAAATCTTCTGTTAACTAATGAGTGTACACTCGCTCGAAAAATTCCTATAAGGAACTAGCATACGGGCAAACAATCTAAGGTTACTGAATTGTGATAGCCGGTAAAGTTTAGTTGGCATAATTAGCCTACTAGTAAATATTTCAGTAGTAAGTATATGTATATGAAAGACACAGGTTCAAATAGTATCATACGGAAACCCACTTATTATCCTAAAAATAATAGTAACTGTTCGACTGACAAGTGATAAATAGAAATGTCAGATTATAAAATTACTGTTTCCTAGACATAGATTTTGCCTGAATCAATAGAGAAGAACTAAGCTGAATACGGAGACCATCTGATCCTAGTTATCAGTTTCACATTATTAGTACCGAGTTTTGTACAAACGAAAGGAGAATTATCATGGAATGAAAATATTGTAATTCAATAAATCAAGGGTTACGAAAGACAAGAAGGATGTAACTTAAATCATAAAAATACAATCCCTCTACTTACTTTAATGAATGTTCGCATAGCTTTTTCAGACATGCCTTTTGGTGGAAAGATTGGGCATTTTTCTTGTAAATCTTTCATTTTGAAACTTGGCAAAGATTCATAAAGTGCTAAGATTATATCACGGAACTAGAAATACAATTATTATGAAAAAATGTTTTTAATAATGTTATTATTTAAGAATACATATTCAACTGACAAATTTCTCTCTATGAATGGATGAATTTAAATTAGAAGAACTACACGTTACTTACTTATGGAATTATCAGTTGAACGTCTCAGCTATGATGAATATTTGACGACTTGGAATCATCAATCAGTTCACGACTTAACTTAAAGCAAACGAATTCATATGAAAAGAAATGTGTATTTGTTTCAGTAACCTCTAGGAGATTCGAACTCCATTCAACCTGCTCTGGTTCGAGTCAACAAGCAGTATTGTTAGCCTTAACACAAAAGAATGTAATATAAGAAACTATATTTGGTATATGTAGACATATATTACCATCTAAGACAAGTCGGTTGGGGAATCGTGCGACTAAAATCAGCAAATTCACAGTCGGACTGCGAAGTCGTGACAATGTGTTTCCTTCAGGAAATGACCCTTAGCACTGTTTTTATTACAAGACCTCGAATAGTACAAACATTATGGGATTTCAACAGTATGTTTTACTACTTCTGATTGCTGTAAATCGGTTTCCTCATTAAATATAAGTGCAGTATGTATGGGTGTTGCACTGTCGGTTCACTTTTTCTCTTGTTCTTTTCTTGGCATTTCAAATCTGAGAGTTATCAATTTAAGTGTGCGTGAAGTCTTCAAAGTTTAGAGGGGTATTTGAAATTTAACGTCAAAGGTCCTCTCGAGATAGGAAAAAAAGGAAAAAAATGTAAAGTATGGATTGACACAACACTTTACCTGTGCTATTGATTCACTGACAGCTCCACATTCTGGACCAGCTACTTTTATTACAAATAATGGTTCTTTTTCAAGTGCTGTTGGTATATTTGGCCAACAAACTGTTAACTGACGTGCATCAATTGTTTGTAAAACTTTCAAAAGATACGTTTTTAACAATTCACGTTCACTTTCAGAGCCTGGAGGAGGTGGTGGACTATTCTTCCAAAGTGTAGAATAGAAGTTTGCATCAAAATTACCTAACTGTTGCTGGAATAAATAAATATACATATATATTAAACGATTTAAGGATGTTACTGAATTTCGCGGTTTAGATCATGGACTGACATTAGTTAGATAACTACTGAACAGCATGACGCACTGGATTGAATTTAGGAATGTAAAACGTCGGATGTAGACGAAGTTTGCCGCAAAACAACAGGTGGAATCCGTAGATGAATACTGTCGAGTCCTATACTAGGACGAAACAGATGTCCAGTGCTTTCTTGTCTTTATTGGGTATCTAGCTATGGGTCAGTCCCTGATATAAACTAAAAATTACAAATCAGTCATTATTATGTCATTTCGGAAAAAAAATCTAGTCAAATTGTAATTATAACTTAATTGATTCCTAAGAACGTTGTAATGGGCAACAAATGAGGTTAAAACGTATTAAGTTTATAGATATGATATATAACGAGTAATTTTCGTCACTGCATGGTGTTCATACTGACACATACTTCATTATCTTACATTTAGTCTCTATAAAGAAGAGTAAAGTGACAAACTGGTTCACGAAGAAATTTTGATGTAGACAGAGAATGCTAAATTGTTATTCAACTGTTCAATAAAATTATGACTTTGTGAATAGTGATCATGGGTTAAGCATACAACGATGTGCATTTTTTTACAACAAAATGACGGTGAATTATGGAAATAAAAGATGGGCAACAAGAGGCAGCTATATGTACCAAAGCGCTAATAATTCACAATACTAGTATAATTATTTAGTAAGATATGATTCTGATGCGTCATTTAGCTAAGCTGTTTGTGAAGTTCTTATTTTTAATAAATAATGCTTAAAACTCGCCAACAAAGATACAAATTTTAATGGCTTTGTAGAATAGTTTTTAACTCTTTATACAACTCAATTCTTTATTTATTCTTATTCTGACGCCTACATTCGCATCAATTCAAGATTTAACCCTTGATGAGTAGCATGTCATAAGAAAACCTTCCCAGACAAACTAACCAGTCCACCAGTCAGAAATTGAGAGGACGAAAAGCGAATGTCCGTAGCTTCAACCGAGTTGATGGATATGGAGGATCCACCTAGAGGAGTTGGAAAACACTGGTTCCAAACCAATGGTGTACATGGGCTCCAGGATCCTAAAGAAACAAATGACGTATGAACCAATTGTTGGTCACCGGCTACCATGGAACTGCATCCCCTCAAGATACTCCACTGCCTTGTGGATTAGACCTTTAGGTCAAAGGCTCGGGGTGTGGCCTCCTAAGAAAACTACCTGCTTCGGTTTGAGCACCTCGGCAGTATCACAGCCCTCACACAAATCGACTGATTTATGTGGTGCATATCTGTTTGGTGCCTCCTTGTACTAATGTTCATGTGTTTAAATGAATAATGTTTTATGGATATCATTATATGTTTGGTAATATGTTATTGATAAATATAAGTGGTTGAAATTTAGTGAAGATCTAGTGCAAACAACTTTCAAATAACAATAAAGACTTTTTAAATATATCTTTGTGACAATGGAAAAAAAACAGTACTGACGACAACGATGATTAACAAATATTAGACCACAGTGGTTATTGGTGTATATTCTGAACTATGTTAGATAACGTTTAAAGCTATCTAATTGTATGGCCCAAGAAGGGAGTTGCGATAAATCAACAATTGTTAACATAATACAATTATCATTCCCACTATACTATTATGTTATATATTGATCACCTCTTTGCCTTTTACAACTAGACTAAAATCGGTAGATCATGCTCGACCACTTGAACAAAAAACATAAAGTGTAACCGAGTTACTAAAAAAAGTGTTTCAATATGTTAACATGTACTGAATAATTAGCAGACAAATTTTTGCACTGCATCACATTGGAACTTACATGATTTAGCCGTCGAAGATTAGCAATCGTTAGGCGATAGCGAACAACTGACAACCTCAGTTTGTATAGATCGAATCTCATTAGCGAATTACAAAAACGCTTATATTACTGAATCGAACATCTGATTATTCAAAGACATGCAAATGACGCTATCGTGATAAAGGTGGTTAAGAATATTATATGGGGATTAAGCTCATCTGCAACACTGCCACAGAGACTCCCACAGCTTTTCAGGTACATGAGCTTTACTACTGCTTTCAAAGGATCATCAAAGCTTCTCCCTCAATTCAATTTAGATATTTTTATAGTTGTGTGATGATTGTATCACACAAATTCATTTTTTTACTGTTAACCGATAAAATGCCTTCAAATCAGAATTCATACTTATTCGGTAACATCAAAGAAAGTCGTGTTACGTTGACATTTTTAATCTGCATTATTTAACACAAAACTAGGTTGTATGGTACTCAAACATTTTAAGGTTGGAACTGGTTAATATTTAACATTCTACATATGTGTATATTTCAACTTAGCTACAATAAAGAAAAAAATTACTTAAGAATACTGTTAATTATAATACCTTAAACTGATATAATTCTCTTTAGTATATACTATAGAAAAGAATAAAAGGAAGCAACGAAAAAAAGCGAATCAACGGAAGAAAACAATAAAGGAAATATTATTTCTAACCTGATAGACTTTTGTCAATGCTGACAATGCTACAATTGGTTGAGTATTTAAAACATTTTTTACAAAATTAATTGAATTATTCATTAATAATTCTGGCATTTCATTGTCACTGTCAAATTTCAAAACACTGTCGTTATTGTCTATATTAGTATCATTAACAGGTTGTAAAGGTGTACATGGTAAACCAATATGATTACTAATAAGATCTGTTTGACTAGATAATTCAGTATTACTATTGGTATCATTGTGACCGTTGTCCATGATAGCTGATTGAGATATATCATGGGATGATGGAGAACGTTTAAGCTTGAGTTCATTCATTTCTGAATCAGTAACACTAGCCGCAGCAGCAGCAGTAGGGATATCAGGATCACGATCCTCAGGAGTAGGAGGTTCCAGTTTGCAACCAACTGTCTGATTATTAAATGAATCTAAGGTTTTAAAAAAAATAACGAAAATGAATCGAACTGAAATCAATAAATGTTCTAACGGAGTACTTATAGCAAAAGATAGCACTTTTTCCACTTAAGTTTGCTTACGGTTAATTTTGTCAAGCCCTTCGATTAACTTATTTAACAGACAGTGTTGTAAAAAATAGCAACAATTTATCCATTTCTTTGTCATTATTATTATTATGTGTGGATGAACATGTAGGCATGACTACGTGTGACAACCTACACACATACACCTTTCTTTGGCTTAAATTTTAGTAGCTTAGATCGCTATATATATTACTTTAACTTACTTGTTGATAATGCAGTTGATGAATTATCGGGAAGATCTGAAGAAATAGGTGTACTATTTACTTTTAGTTTCGGAGAATTTATTTTCACAGGTGGTGGACTAGTAGGTATACAAAATTTTGACGATACACCATCTGTTTGAAGACAAGGTAATTTTGTAGAAGTAGAATGAGGAGATGATAAACCAGAAGAATAACTCGATGAAAGACTTTGAGTTCGTACACGTTTCCGATCAGGTGGTTTTAATGAATTATTGGCATCTTTATCAGTATCTGTTGTATGACATACACTTGATTGACGTAAACGTTTACGATTTGTATTTTTACTAGGGGTTGAAATATGTACTCCTGAAACAAGTGATTTGAAGCCACTGTCAGAATCTGAACCACTTTCACCAGAATGTTGTCCAGGATTACGTTTACGTCGAACTCCATCTTAAAATAAAAAAGTAATAAAAATCACATAAAGGAAAGTGCAGTGTAAAATGGATATGCCATTAACACTCACTACATAAATGAAAAATATGTACAACAAAGAGCTAGCGATAAGAAAATTCCCGACTAAATGACGTAATGATGACGCATATTGATACCGAAACACATACTTATAAAAAAACAAACTAATACGAAATCAATTGTTTCCATGGATGGGTCGGGTCAAACTATTAGTTTCAAATCAACAAGTTGCAGGTACGAACGCAACCCCTTTTATTTCAGTAGTGGCATTAATTCTCATACAAACAATGTGGCTAGAACCTAAATACATAAACTTGTACTTGGCCAATTACTGACATAGCATAACATTACTACATCTATAAACAATACGTGTGAACTATGGCTTAATTAAATCTAGTTGGACTAACCAAATATTACCTCTAAATGTCTCAAGTGAAAAATGCAGCTGGGAAACTAGTGCATGATCTTGCAAACTAGACAGGTAAAATTAATTTATTTCCAAATTAAAATTATTTTTTCGGTAATTCCTGTGATGGGTTGTGAATTATAATTAAGAAGCAGAACATAAACATCACTTAATAAATATATTCTCATCCGCTTAACAATTAACATTACATTTTATTCAGGAACTTTAGGTATTTGTAAGGTCAGAACTTCAGTGTTACCTAGGTCTCATTATCAAAGTTTATCTACATTCTTAATAAAGTTAATTCCCCATGTGAGATTCAAATTCGTGTCACTCAGTAGTCAGAGATGTCATCACTGGGCAATATTCATAGTACAAATGGTTTCTCTGTAGGACTGATATATTTGTACTGAACAATTGCTTATAAATAACCAGTGATATATTTACTTACTTTTAGTACTGGTCGAATTGTATCAATCAAGTTGTATTGTGGTCATTAGTTAAAGTGACTGCTTCACATAATCCACACTACTGCATATTAAGTGGAATTCGATCTACGCTAACGACTAGACAGAGATGACGTTACTTACTACTTAGTGCAAATATTGTGTATTATATATAAAACTGTATATGCGTGAAGCATATTAAACTAAGGCATACCCGATACGAGATGTTCTAGTTTTAATTGTGTGCATAATTGACGAATGCGAATTTCCCAAGCAACTTGTTGTTGTTGTACAATATCTGGATATCTGAGATGGAGAGGGAGAGAAGGAAGGAAAATCAGATTGTGAGCGTAGTCGATTTACGCTTGAAAAACTTTTTCGAAAAAACAAAAAGTAAAGATACACACTTAACGAAGAATAAATACTGACAACGATTGAAATCCTATAAGTTGTCGCATTTATGCAATTAATAAATATTAGTAATAAAAATATAATTCGACATGATATATTGCGGGAATTATGGTAGATATTTTGCTTGTGCAAACCATTATATACAAGGAATATATGCGAAGATGGATAGTGGCTAGCAGTGGAATCCAGGACACGCGTTTCGACTTATTCGGGACCCGTCAGCTGGATGTACTTGCACCTCAGAGTTGATGTTCACTCTGGGGCTCGGACTCAGTACTGTTCACTTCAAACTCCATCGCGTTATCCAGTTAGCTACTGAGTCCTGATAGCCACTTGCTTGTGCAATGGGGTGAAGATTAAATTCACTTGGTATTGTTTGTCCGAATCTTCCCGTTGATATTTAGGACTGCAATTGATTAGTCTCTTATTGGTGTATGTGCATACTGTGCGTGTTGCCTCGATATGGCCTTAATTCACAAGCATTATATACAAATACAACGGTTATTGCATTTTATACTGTTTTCATTTCAATCATTAACTAAATGGTTTACGGTTCTTGTACTATTGTGAATTATAGACATAATTGTTTAGTACTTTATCTCCTATATGACCTAGTTATGTACACAGTGTAATTTCTTGTTCGTGGTAAGTTGTAGTCATGCAACTGATGTGTATAATTCTATAGGTTTTTGAGTCAGAATGACAATACAGTCATAGGCGGTAAGTTTGCTTGCTGCCTTCGTGTTCTAACTGGGCACTGACAATAGAAGCAGCTGCGTGAATCGAGTCATTAACCTCTTTCGTAGTTGTTAAAGATCATTTGTGTTATTGACTAATGAAGTCAATCGTCTGAAAGACGTAGAACAAACTCACCATAAGCGAACTTTATAATCAAATGCTCTTAATTTGCATGAACGAACAAAATTGAGATGATAACATGAAAAAATCACAAATTAGTGGGTAAAATTAAGTTATTTGGTTTTGTCTATGAAATAAGGCTGAGAAAAGATATTTAGTTAGACAATTTTGACAAAATGCCAAAAGAGATAATGTGAAAGTCACACCACGGACACTGCGTATAGTTTTTTAAAATATCAGATGTTCACCATTTCACTGACATGATACATGATTGGTGAAAACACTCTAAGGATCTATAGGATAATTATTAGCAATATTTAGGGGCTATGGGTGATGTGGTTCAAAATCAATTTCAATAATGCATTTTATTACTTCGTTTTGAATTATCTTCTGTATATTTAACATTTTTAAAAATTTTTTAGACACCAAGATTACTTCTTCTTATTACGCATCATGTGTTGAACTCACTGGAATAACACATCTGAGGCTTGTCAAAGTTAAAAGACTCCCTTGGTTTTTTGGAATGCTGATTGATACATAAATATAGATAGTACGTGATTCTAAAATAAACAATTATTAGCTTACGTTAAGTAGCTCACACTGAAGGAGATAAATTCAGTAGTAATATTCAATCTTTAGCATAGGAAAGCACAAGATGGCCAGTTCAACATGGCCGGATAAATAAAAATATCGCAACCGACAGGGGAACACAGATAACTTATAATTAACCAATGAAATATAAGGAAAAATAGTACGATAAAAAAGAGTTACTAATGGGTAGCACAGATCTATCTTGCATCATGTTAATTCCTTATAATTGTGCTCGTGACCTAACTAGTCCTGCAGCTCCTCTGGGGTTATTGCCGGTCCCAAGCCCGGATAAAGAAGGAGAGTTTGGCATGGGGTTAACGACCCCATCCCGTAGAAAACTAACTCGTTAAAAAAATTAACCTGAAAAAATAATTCGAACTATTTAAACTCGGTCCTAGGAATTAGAGCGTCTTCATTTATAAGAGTTATGACGCCTCATGGTGAAAGCTGAGTTCCTTCGAAAGTTACGAGGCCAATGCCCCCTCTGACAACCAGAGCAATCATTTATTTAGGTACATGGAATGATCGTACAATGCCTAACAAAGGTCTTGACCATTCTGATGGGAACCTAAATGCCAGGGTTGGAATGGATAACACTGGATATGAAGACATCATGGGACGACATGGACTAGGAGAAAGAAACGAAAATGGTGAGAGATTTGCAAACCCATATGCCTTCAGTAAACTGATCATAGGCGCCACATAAACACATACACAAAGCCACAAGGATTTCACCGGGTAACACTATAAAGAAACAAATCAACCATATTTACACCAACAAAAAGTTCAGGAGGACGATGATGGATGTGAGAACCAAGAGAGGAGCTGACATAGCATCAGATCATCACTTGCTGATCGCCAAGATGAAAATGAAACTCAAGAAGCACTGGACGACGGGGTAGACAACATCACATTCTGACAAACTCAACAAATTTAGGATAGCTTTCAGCAATAGGTTCCAGGTCTTCCACGATTTACTCAATGGAGAGGGAACTACTATGGACAGTAACTGGAAGTGGGTCAAGGAGGCGATCACTTCAACATGTCAAGAGGTTCTGGGTCACAAGGGATGGACCACTGTTGATACACTGGATATAATTCAAGAAAGGAGGAACAAGAAGGCAGCAACCGACACTAGCCGACCAGAAGCAGAGAAATCCAAGGCACAATCTGAATACACGAAAGTAAACAAGCAAGTGAAGAGGAGCATCAGAACCGACAAACGTAAATATGTGGAAGATATAGCAATGACGGCGAAAAAGGCTGCAAGAGAAGGATACATGAGACCGTTGTATGAAACAACAGAAACAGGTGGGTAGAGAACTTCAAGGGACTCTTAAAACGAGGATGCAGCTGGACGATCTAGACTTCGCAGATGATCTGGCTCTTCTGTCACACACGCAACAACAAATGCAGGAGAACACGACCAGTGTAGCAGCTGTATCAGCAGCAGTAGGTCTCAACATACACAAAGGGAAAAGCAAGATTCTCCCATACAACACTGCATGCACCAATCCAATCACAATTGACAGAGAAGCTTTGGAAGGTGTAAAACCTCTACATATCTGGACAGCATCGTTGATGAACACGGTGGATCTGATGCAGATGTGAAGGCGCGGATCGGCAAAGCAAGAGCAGCACATCTGCAACTCAAAACAACTGTCAACCAACATCAAAGTCAAACTTTTCAATACAAATGTCAAGACAGTTCTACTGTATGAGGCGGAAACTTGCAGAACTGAGAAAGCCATCATCCAGAAGATACAAGTGTTTATTAACAGTTGTCTACACAAAATACTTCGGATTCGTTGGCCAGACACTGTCAGCAACAACCTACTGTGGGAGAGAACAAACCAGATCCCAGTGGAGGAAGAAGTCATGAATAAGCGCTGCAAGTGGATAGGACACATGTTGGAGAAAGCACCCAACTGCGTCACAAGGCAAGCCATGACTTGGAATCCTCAAGGCCAAAGGAGAAGAGGAAGATCAAAGAACACATTACGGCCAGAAATCGAGACAGATATGAGAAGAATCAACAACTCGATAGAATTAAAAGGAAGGCCCAGGACATAGTGGGTTGGAGAATGATGGTCGGCGTCCTATGCTCTACTAGGAGTAACAGGCGTAAGTGCACGTGACCTGTGCCAACTTGACCCTAAATATAAGATTTTCGCAAAGGCATATATGTTGTTGATAATCAACCAACGTACAATCGGTAATTATGCAAAGCTCGTGCATTTGATAAACATCATTTAACTTCGACGACGTAGAGGAGACGAGCGTTAAACGAATAAAACAAAAACGAAGCAGTATTTACTTTTTGATAAAATCATAATCGGTCGGATAAAATTCCCAATGATTTGCACACCCTTTCTGAGTAGTCGACATTTTACAAGCTAAAGATTTCAGTATTTCCGTAGCCTCAACAGTAGGCACCTGAATATTACAACAACAACAAAACATAATTACTGCATAGACAACTGGTTAATTAAACACAAAAATTTAGAAAAGATTTGTGAACTTTAATTCAATGAGAAAAACACCGAAACTCTAAACTAATACTCACAAACGAGATATGTTTAAAGTGTAAGTAGTAAAAGTAGTATTATCAGTATGGGGCTGTGGAGATTGTTAAGTTTTCGATTGAGATCATGAATCAATCGATGTTAGACCACCACTGAGAACATAGAAGCACTGAACGGCTGTCTCGTCCTTGTATGAGACTCCTCCAGGTTTTCGATGGTAGTTCAACATCGACCGATTCATGATGTCAATCAAAAATAGTATTGTTACAAAGCAGTCAGATAAGTTAAAATGTAATAAATCGAGATATAATAGTTAAATTGATTCATCACTATTCATTTGGTCTACATGATAATTTACTTATGTTATGTTTGTGCACTAAGTTAATTATTTGCAACTCCAATTTTAATATAATGAAAATTGAATGCTACTTTTCGCATATTTCCTGTCCTCTATCTAAAATGAAAAGTTTAATTCTCAGAGAATTATTTCTGATAAAGATACCAGAAGAACTAATCTAAATTCAGGTTAATTTATTCATATACCGATTATTTAATGACAGAATTTTATCTACTAACAAAATGTAACTAGACACAAAATAACAGTGAATTAGTCAATACGGAGAAAAGTGTATACCTTAACAACGTAAGTGTGACATCTATATTTTAGCATGGTCATAACAAGGAACTGATTAAAAAAAACAATTCTTTGTTCAAATTGTATTTTTAATAAATTATTCTGAATAAAGTACAAGTGTGAAACTAACATAGGCAATAAATTAGTGACGACAATTTGGATGCATTAGAGAGCATCAGTTCCCTAAATATAACGGGTACGCACGGTCGCCTTACGAGTGCCAACTAGTACGACTTGTAGGCATAGAGTTTCCTGTCGACTACTTCCAACTATCTAATATTTTAGATTAGTTTCCTTTTTTGAAGAAAAAACCAAACACATACCCACAACCAATTGCCCAATGGTACTTATGGTTTAGTCCCATAGTAGTAAATTGGCGTACAAATAAAGCATTTTAAAACAGTAACTTTACTGTTTTGAGAACTAATAACTTTAACATCAATACAACTGATGGAGTAGAGTAATATCAAGTATATTATTCAAGTGGGTCGATTGTCAGGGAAATCTTCCCCATTGCCTTCACGTAACAGGGGTGTTGTTTACAAAATTGAGGAGAAAAATCGGATATCCGGCGCTTAAACTCAGTTGGTAAGTACGGTGGATCCGCCTAGGGGGTTGAAGAAAGTCCGATTCCAAACCAATAGTGTACATGAGCTCCAGGAACAAATAGTGTATGAAACTATTGTTGGTCACTGAAAACCATGCGATCGCATCTCCTAATGTTGCTCCATCACCTTGTGGATTAGATCTTTAAGTCAAAAGCTCAGGGTGTGGCGCCTTAAGAGAATAATCTGTATCGGTTTGGGCACCTAAATAATACCACAGCCCAAACACAAATTTAATGATAACTACTTTGTGTGGCGCATATATATATTTTGAAGCCCATTTGTACCGATATTTATGTGCTCAAATAAGTGATGAAATTTAAATTGGGAACAAAAAATAAAAAGATGCTGCTGGTTTAAGACAGAGAGAAGAATTCCAGACCATCGGGATAGGAAAGTATCTCATGTAATAATGGAAATGAACATTGATTAAAAATATTAATAGGATAAATAATATGAATTGTTATCATTTAGATGTATTAAACCCACATTCAAATCTTAACCATAGCTGCTACCTTGGCATGATAGTTCGACATTTCTTCCTCAATGACTTAAACGAAGTGTATTGAATGAAAAAACTGTCCCTTAAAGTTCTACTGTCTCCAGTAAGTTCATCAGAGAATGGTAAGATTAAAAACAGCAAATTCATACTGCCGATTGTTCTAAGGTGTCTCAGTAGTACCGTACATTACTCAGACAATTAGCATTTATAGTAATACTGCCATCTTACAATAAATAAATAAATGTTAGTCCTTGGAAATAGTACACTTCACACTGTCTCACGAATTTCCGTCGCTAAAGATAAAGTCTTTGAAGTCATGAATTAACTTACCAAAAAATAATCTTAAAAGTGCAGGTATGACCAGCCTTAAGCAGTTGTCTCTTATACTCTACAGTTATCCTCTCAGATCTCTAAGAACAGCAGCAAGTCAGCTTTTTCTTCAAGCCCTTCAGGAGGAAGCATCCTTTCACGGTGTGGGGAACCTGAAAAAGTCAACTTTTCACATATCTGTAACAGTACTTAAGATCACATTGTTCACGACAAAGTTCTGCTATATTTTTTTATTAATATATACTTGCATATGTTTGTTTTCATAAACTCAAGCTCTGTATCAATTTCATTCAATATTTTAATTAGATTTTCTATCGAGTCAAAATTAACATCATAAAAATTACCAGTTGACCTACTTTAGTCATGCATGAAATAGTTTTACGAGTTAAATGTTCACCGCGATGAAATACAGCCATCTAAGAAGAAACGACAGAGATATACATATAATATATACAAATTTATACAGATTATAGAACGTTAGAATAATTCATTCTAGTTAGATTATTTATAAAAATAAGTAAATGTGCATCGATTCATTCTATAATTAGAATTGCTACTGAATGATAGATAAGCTAAGTTAAAGTATGACAAATGACACTTTATAACTGGACAAGCTTATTGTAGCGATACAAGTCAATGAAAACTTGCTCAGTAGTGAGGATAAATTATGTATAAAACAGGCATACTTGGTTAATAAACATTCAACTGAAGTTACTTCCCAAAAAAAGCTTCATATGATTATGCAAGACAATATAGTACTTTGTGATTGACAGTTGATAGACACATAAGTAACAAGTATTTTAAGTGGCTCAGTTGATGAAGATTCCCGACATCATTAACCAAATTAGCAATTTTATCCAGTATTATACATTTGAAACTAGTGTTTCTCACTATAAGTGAGGAATAATGCTGAGACGAAACTTACGATTCAACACTTGCAACTTATACACGCTCTCTGCGTTTATAAATGCGAAGTAATACACTACAAACTACCGACCGCTGGATAGGTAGGTGGATATTCTGCTTGTGTACTTGATGAGACAAGTTGACACAGTTCGAGTATATTATATTTTTGTCGAGATGGTGTCATCCACTAACTCATTAGATTTCCAACTTATGAATTCTCTATAATTAAAGTAGATAATGAACCAAAAAAATATTTGAAATCCAAAGAAAGAGACACATGCCATCTACACACACTCCAGGTTGATGAAAAAACACTGGGTATTAGTTCAAATCAAATACTTCTGAGGAAATTGGTAACTTTAATATCATGTGCATAATCGAATAAGGAAACGAGGAAGTAATTAGACCAGAGAGACATCGCTCGATCCACTTCACTTGAACAACGGTTCATATCTGGCCCTAGATCGATGATGAGCGTTTAAGTAGCAAACGTGGTGAACTTCTTTAGTGTACCTATTGATAACAAACAACTCAATAAGAAGTAATCATCAATAGAATTAAAAGTTGCCAGCAACTTGACGGACATAGTTATAGAGGGATGTTGACAAAGAAACTGATATTTTTAAATCTAGTAATATAAATTAAATACACAACAAATTAAAGAAAAACGTAACTCTACTAAACTGTTAAAAAATGTAGTTGACGAAGTTATCTTATGAATTTCACCATAGAAATAGCTTGATGTAAACCATGCTTCAAGAGTAGTACAAGAAGCGGATATCCACAAAAATGAAATAATATTACAATAAGTAATGAATTTTCTTCAAGAAAAATTGTCAAGACTTAAATCTTATCTTTATTTGACCATGTTCAGCTGTCTTCTGAATCACAAACCTATATAAGCTAGTACTGTGTATCTAGATAGATGATGAAGCGCTAACTCAGAATTCTACACATTTTGATATCAACTCTCGATGGGGTTATAGATGTCTACTGCTGAGATGTACTATATTGGGACAAAACACTAGTCCATTGCTTCCTGGTTTCCAATGGTTGTCTAGATAATCAGTTTGTGATGTAACTTATCGTTGTACCAAATAATCTCTACCGTAACTTCTATTTTTCCAATATAAACATCTAGAGTTTTAAAGGAATAGAATATTATAAAATGAAACCTACAATATAATCACGTGCCCGAATCAGTAGTGTATTTGGTGTACCACTATGTTCACTGAATGAATTTGGAGGATAAAGTATTTCACTGGAAGAATAAAATACATGACAAATACAGAAAAATATCTAGAATCCAATCGCTGAGATTACTTCAAATATAATTTTTATAAATAATGTCTTCAAATACACTGAGTGCCTAATTTCTGTGGAACTATTCATTCAAATATTGACGAATATTTATATAAATTAATACTAAATATTAAAAATAAAAGCGTATTATTATTATTGCATGGAAGTGACCATGGTTCAAATCCTACAGAGTTACAACTTGTTGATAAGAGTTAGGTGGTGCATAATAGGGTATCTTAACTACTACTTTCAAATAATTAATAATACTAAGAAAAGGCATGTTATGGATATGTGAAAACAATTGATTACCTTTTAGCGACCCACCATCCGCGGAGTAGAACAGCAAAAGTCGGTAAGTATTGCAAAACACTAGTATTAGTAACTGAATGTGGATCTTTGAAGCGTTCACGTAAACAAATAACTAACTTGTCGAATCGAATAAGTTGTGCTACAAAATAATGACGAAAGAAATAACATCGAAAAAATAGATTAAAGATACGTTTCTAGGACTAAACATTATATTTACATTAAAGACTGAAAGTAAGGGTTTAGAAGTGGTAAGGTTGTATGCATAAATTAGTCTGTAAAGCCGACTAACACAAGGTTCAGTTGGAAAGAGCAAATGACAATTTTTTGTGAGTTAGTCTAAGCTCGAATAGAATATTGATGTTATATCCTAGTGAAGCTTACATTACGAGTAACGTCTGAGATTTATTAATGGACTATTATTATTTATATATTCTCATGGTATAAATATTCGGTAACTAGATTATGTATATCTATATTCAATTTGTTGTAAGCTTTATTTTGACCTAGAATTTATCATTGTACGATTTACGGTTCCTAATCTATGTTCAGTTTATTGACTATTGCCTCCCACGTTCACAGCCACTTTTTGGCTTTATTGTGTACAAATGTTATTTCCTATTTTATGGTGCGCTGCGATCTGTTTGATTGATATATAAACCCAGTATGTCTGAAATAAATTATTCGATTCGCATAGTGGAAGCTGGTATTAATGTTCTGGACTCAAGTGGACGGGCTAGGCGGACATAGGACCAATAAGGACGCTAGGCTGCCCATACCGATCGAACGTCATTGGTTTGCCACAGTGCTAAGATTGTATAAGTCGTATTTTAATTGGGGGATAAACCACGTGATAAAAAGCCGGACATAAAGTCACAACAATTGACATACCTAATTAAGGTAGTGACGTGATTAAGACCCTTCTCTTCCCTGAACAATTGTTGTATATTGTGGAATGGAAACGGCATTTGGCGATTACGAACGATTATGAAATTTCTTCCAGTAAAAAATGGGATTTATGTGAACTAGATAGACTGAACAATTAACAATAATAATAGTACCCCATTTGATGGAAGAAAGAGAGGTCTTGTAAGGAAGATGTATTACTGAAGATACAGGGAAAACTAGATTACATTGAAGTTAACTATTCCAATGATTATTAGTCGGAAAATTTATCAGTCTGAGAGTCATTCAGAATTGAATTAGGAAAGATGAGAATTCGATGAATAGAATGTACTACAAATTAATACGTGAGTCAAAAAAAAGGATTTCTACCTAATATTTAGCATTCTCTAGAATTTACTGTTCTCAACAATATTTTACAGTTCCTCAAATTAACTTACACTTTGAAGTAAAATGTATTCATATTATGGAATTTTCCAAACTAAATTCATTCAGTAGCAAAAACTGAACACAAGATGAGAATAGTTCGTTTATTTGCCGACTTAAAGTGTCGAAACAAACAAATCCTACAACTTACAACAATAAAATTTGAGTGTAGACACTAAGTATACACATTAACGGTAACAGACAATCACATTTCAGATAACATAGATTACTCCATTTTGAAATAATAATTTACACAATGATGTAACTTTAAAAGACAACAAAAATTATCCAGTTGAAATTCTTTATTTGAACTTATAAATATTGGTACAAGAGGGCACCAAATATATATGCGCCACACAAAACAATGAGGATTCGAAGAGAAAAAAAGAACAATAACGAACAGATTGGTGTAAGGTAGTGTAATAATAATAATAGTAATAATGGGGGAAACGGAAAGGTACAATCAGAAGAAATATTTCAGTTAAGGAAGACACAACCACTTTTTATGAAGAAAGTAAAAGAAGGTTACAGCAGGATCGCCACTGGCTTCTATTCTGAGCCATATCTGATAACGTCTCTATCCACTGTGTAGCACCATCTCTCGGACCCCAACCAGGGAGTCGTGAAGGACCGACAGAAGCCAGTCCTTTGCAGATTTCTTTCATACCACGAAACCATGTCATGCACTGACCACCTCTCCGCTTTTTCCAACCAGTCCCAGAGTCGGCAAAGAATGCACGACGTGGAATTCTCTGGGACGACATTCGTAGAACATGTCCGAGCCACCGAAGTCGGTGTTTCAAGATGGGGACACCAATTGCATTATCATCTCTGTGCCCGAACACATGAAGCCGAACCTTTGCATTACTAACATGGTGTTGCCACTAGATGTCAGCGATCCTTAAGAGACAACGATGATCAAACACAGAGAGTCGTCTAACATCCTCAACTCGGAGAGGCCAGGTTTCACAAGCATAGGGCAGAACTGCTCTCACCGACGCGTTGTAGATCTGAAACTTTCACAGCCAGACTGACATCACGAAGGCGCCAAAGATGGCCCAGATTGGCATAAGCCTCTCTGGCTTTCACTAGATGTGCATTGATCTCATCACTCACGCCACCACCAACATTTATGCAGCTACCTAGATACACCAACTTCTTGACTACTTCTATCTGCTCACCATCCAGGGTGAGTACAGGATCAGAATCCTGCCAGTCTTGTAGAAGTACTTTGCACTTCGAAGGTGCAAAGCACATACCATACCTACAGACACTAATTGCCAACTGTTTTAATGCGGATTGCATGGCTTGGGCATTATCGCACAGTAAGGCAATATCATCCGCATACTCAAGGTCGAGAAGTCTTTCCCCAGGCAACAGATCCACACCGCCATTACTTACATCCATCAGAGCTGTTTCCAGAATGTCATCGATGGCAAAGTTGAAGAGGAATGGTGAGATTGGGCAACTCTGCCTAACCCCACTGCTCGAATGGAACAATGGAGAGAGGTGGTTGTATGCCCTCACTCTGTCTGAGGTGTTTGTATATAGAGCCTTTAAGATGTTAATAAACTTCTCAGGCATACCCTTCTTCAATAGACAATCCCAGAGAACAGTCCTGTCCAACGAATCGAAGGCAGCCCTGATGTCAAGAAACACTACGATTGTTGGCCTTTGATAAGTATGACGGTGTTCTAACATTTGGCAGAGGGTGAAGAGACTTCCTCGACCAGAACGAAAACCAGCCTGCTTTTATACTCAAGGTAAAAATGTTCAATCGAAGAAAGCATGCCTAATTTACCCATTGGTTAACAAATAATTAACTAAAGACCGAAATGAAGATCGTAAAGAGTAACGTAATGAAAAATATTCTTGTTAAACTAAACAAATCAACTATATCTTCACCTACAAAAGATCATACTTAAGTTTCTGCACATATATAACTAACAGTAAGAATATTACCTTTTATCATTATTGTTTGAATGAGTTCTCCCAAAGTAGGCAGTTTAACAGGCTCCGTGCGACTACGACTGAAAAATTAAGTGAACAAAGTATATATTATGCATTGGTGAAACAGTATAAAAACTAGTCAATATATAAATCACAAGGATATAGTTGGTATAATCTATATGTTCTACCTATAAGATGGTACTTGGCATGTAAAACAGAGAATTGCCTGGTAAATGTGGAAAGTAAAGCTAATTTATGTACCCAACTTTTGAATTCATCATACATCAAGTACAGGTATGTGATCTAGGCTTTAAGTCATACTGTTTTGTGGGAGCCCAAAATAACCGTCACGTGATAATCAAAGTGTATAGAGCGAAGTTCGAACCTGCAACTCATTATTTTAGAGCCAAGTGCTTAGACCATTATGTCATCATTTACGATGAATTCGATTGACGTTAAACTAGTCCTATGGGAAAGACTCGTGTATAAACTCAAAAATGGTAAAGTATTTATTTCTGTATAACCTACGCTGAAAAATCCTTTTTTAGTTAACTACTCACACAAAGGTTGAAATTTGGTGAAATAGCCTACATCAAACAGTTTAAGAATAGTCAAGTATTTTTGTAGGAAATTAACAAGAAGATAATGTCTCTTAGTTTTATGCCTACTGTCACGAATTGGCAATGACAATCTATTTTTATTATTGGGGTTTAGACCTATTAGCTTAAAGTAATGGGAATGAATAGGTTATCAATTGGTGCAGTAGAGAATGCAAATTAAAACCTTGGTAAGGAAATGAATAACCTTAATCTTGTTAGATTATTAAAAAAAATAAAAGACCGAATCTAAGGGATTTCATCTAAATTTTCCCACTGAAATTCTGATAAGAAAATCCAATTTATTGTAAAGTGGTGACTGACTAGTACAACAGAAAGAACATTTATATTATTTAGTGATGGGCTACGCGCCACATTTTTGGGACGGCCTCCGAGAACTACGACGGAGCTTCCAGAGGCCCTAAAGGGGCCAAAGAGTTTCCATCCAATCAGAACATGATTTCAACGAGCCATGCTGGTATTGCATAGTAGCATGACATGCCTCTTTGCGGATTGGCTGAATTATAATGTTGACATAACAAACGCTAATAGCTATAAATACCCGTGATTTTCTGTACATTTTGATTCCTACCCAACAAGCACTTCTCCAGTCTTCTGATCTGCAAGTGTGTGATTCCATACGCTCGAGTGTCGTAGTTGTATACCGTATTCTGCGTTAATCAAGTTGCGAACATAGCACACAATTATCGTGTATGTTTGAACTAGAAATACCATCTGAGTACTAAAGGATTAGTATAGATGTATCGAGAACTGACTTCATATTCATAACGAATAAGCCATATATTTTGTATATTTATTTAATGTTGGTGTTACTTTGTCTAGTGATCTTATCATATTTCAAAAACAGTAGGATTTGATTATTAGTGAAGACTAAAGTACTGATCTTTTTATCAACATAGGAAATTACTAAGCAATATTTGAAAGAATTAAGTAATATTTCTTCCATTGAGAGGTGGTCAGTGTATGACATGGTGTCGTGGTATGAAAGAATGCGGTACAGGACTGACTTTTGTTGATCCTTCACGACTCCCTGGTTGGGGCCCGAGAGGTGGTGCAATACAGTGTCTGCGAATGTTATCAGATATGGCTCAGAGAAGCCGGTGGTGATCCTACTGTAACTTTCTTCATAATAATGGACGTAACCTCTTTAGCTGAAAGAATTCTTCCTGGCTATATTTTTGATAAGTGAACTATTTCTCCCATTATTATTATTTATTATTTCACTCTCATACACTAATTTCTGTTCGTTGTTCTTTCTATTTGCTATAATTTCTCTTATTACGACCCAGACATTCCTATCGCTTAGTATTCTCGGACACTAATTCATTCAACAAGTCCCAAATCAGAACACGGTTGAACAGGAAAGACATTATATTCCAGATAACAAAGGTAGATGGAAGTAAGAAGCACAACAAGAAAAACTTTAGTACATTTATATTTTTTACAAGAGAGGATTCTAGAGTCTTCTCCAAGTATTGACTAGCGCTGATTAGATAACAATTAGGCAATCAGTGTGTACCAACACAATCCTGCACGGAATGTGCTTTATTCCAATTTATGTCCCGCTAACGCTATCATATGCACTTTACATTCTCTACCTCTTCACAACCTCATTGTTATTGTGTGGCGCATATGTATTTGGTGCCCCTGGTATCAATGTTTATGTGTTCAAATAAATTAAATAATCTTTAATTATTACCTTTGAAACTGTAAGGAATTACAAAACAGAAAATGTTTCGTGTTCATAATAATTAAAATCGAAGTGAAGAAAAACACAATAATTTTATACTTACTCAACGACATGTGGTGTTACTGAAGCTAACAAATTGTTCACATATTCTTCTTGACTTGGACCTGTTACACGATTTCTAGTCAATTCTGGCATATCATCATTTGGATACAATAAAGGAATACGCCTTTCAAAGGCTTCACTAGGCTAATAAAATAAAATGAATTACACAGAAGCGTTATAATAACATGAAATTATAGCGAAATAATCGGTTTTTATCTTACCTTACTCAAACTAAGTTTATGCATGTATGGATACAAATAATACTAGATACATTCTACTGATACTTGGTAGCCGGATTTTTAGTCTAGTGAAAATGAATTACACACTGAACAACAATTGTTAAAAGAAACACTTACACCACTTGAACCTCGTAGAATATACAGCTGTCGTACAATTTATAAACGGTACACCTACGCATTTATAAAGTGAAAATTCAAGTACTAAGCTTTCAGCTACACTTCTCATGTGAATGCTAGGAATAATAATCAAGTGCCGAAACCACACTAGGTAGGGAGAGGCTTGAATCTGAGAGCAAATAGTTGGAATACAACTGCTTTAATCACTGAATTACCACCCTATTTATTAAGAAATATGAGTTACGCTATTTGGTTTTACATAAAGTAAGCAACTTAACTCATCTCAGAAATGTTATTAATCTGTACTATAATGAATGAAGACTTGGGCAGGGCAAGTCAATCTATTGTATTATACAAAATCACACACTGAATTTGTAATATATGAAAAACAATACATTGAATACACCATTTGCACGTCTTCCTTGAATTATCTTTTATAAACTCCATCCTCCTTCTATTCCTGTTGCTACTCCAACTGGTTTTGTTTTTTATTTTACTCTTCCCACTTTCCTCTTCTGTCAGTAAGCATCGTACTTCCAATTCCTGATACATACTACTTATATCTGTTCGTAGAATTAGCACATGCCACAGTACTACGAAAAGTACAAAATAGTAGCTTTACAAAGACAGAACTTCAGTAAAAATTGATACATACCCAGAACAGAACATAACTGTTGAATGAATATTAGGAATAAAACTCGAAGACTGAAAGTACGCTGAAATAGTCTCCTCTGCTGTCGACACAAATTTGTTTCGTTGATCAAAAAAATTTGGACGACTCTAGCCCGATTTCCTTTTCACGTAACTCTAGGAGAACCCTTCCACGGTGTGGGCGACCGGGAAGTGAGAACCGCCATCATACTTCTAACAGTACTGTATTCATAATCAGTGTCCCTCTTCGATTCCTATTATTCCTCCTACATCGAATTTCGACTCAAAACTTCGTCCCCAACTGTCAACACGGCCAACGATTCTAGTGCGCAAAACACTGTCCCAGGTCTACTGAAACTTCGCTCCAAACTACATATTGGAGCCTTCAACGTACGCACCCTATTTCAAACCGGCCACCAGGTCTCCTTGGCTAAAATCCTAGAATCTCGCACCATTGATGCATGCTGTCTCCGAAACACACATACAAGATCCTCACCAAAACGGGGGACCGAAGAGATACACCCTCCGTTTATTTGAAGACCCGATGGCTACTTCTCGTCAACTGGCGGGTGTAGATATAGCACCAAGTATGAGGGCAAAACAAGCACTTTTAGAATGGATCCCTGTTAACAATAGCCTATGTGGTGTTCGGCTAAACGGCTCCGTAAGAACACGAAAAAATAGAGACACACATCGTTGCCTTTTTGTCGTTTTTACCTACGCTCCCACTGACTGTAGCGCGGATGAAGTGAAAGATAAATTTTACAGAAAGCTTTCTGAACTTCTTCAAAAAGTCAAGCACTCAGACACGGTACTCGTAGCAGGTGACTTTAATCCTCAAGTAAGTAGCTTAAGTTAGACAGAAGGACATTTAGGTGGGTATTTTGGTATTCCGCCCCAGTGAATAGATAATAGTGACCGTCTGCTGCAACTGTGCTCAGACGATCGTTTATTCTTAACAAGCACTAATTTTAAGCATAAGGCCTGAGTCAAAACCAGGACTAACGATAGAGAGCGAAGCAGATGAACGCGTCGACAACTTCCCATATCTTGGAACTCTGATCAGCTCTAATGGGTTGGTGTCTGACGAAATCTCTGCACGGATTCAAAAAGCTCGTTTGGCTTTTGTCAACTTACGTCGCCTATAATGAAGGCAAAATATCCATCTATTAGTTAACGGGCAAATATACTGTGCAGCAGTTCATTCTGCTTTACTTTACGGCTGCGAAAAGTGGCCATCAATAGTACAGAATACTCGTAAGTTACTAGGATTTGATCACAGATGTCTCAGAAATACTGCTCGCATCTGCTGGGATCACCGGGCAGGTAATAATGAAGTTAGACGCGAGGTATTAGGGAATGATGGTAAATCAGTTGATGAGGTTGTGTATCTTTATAGACTCGGATGGTTGGATCACGTGTTACGTATGCCTGAACATCGATTACCGCGATGCGCAATCCTGACTGGTATTGGAGATGGATGGAAGAAAGTTAGGGGCGGTCAAACCAAAACGTGGCATCGGTCATTGCAGTCACTAACTTCGGGTCCGAAACATGTTGGTAGATGCAGACTACTTGGTTGGGGTCCGCGTGACTATCGTAATCAATGATTGGAGACCCTGCATGACATAGCTCAGAATCGATCACTATGGCGTAGGTGTATACAACCTCTGTCTTCCCTTAAACTGTGAAACTAAAATCGCTTTCTATCTTTATACCAACTAATTCTTTCTTCCTGTATTATATCCATACATAAAATCTTTCTTTTATACATTATCTTTGAAGTAACTACTTCTATGAATTTGGCGTTCGTTTTTTGTGCTAATGAGGTGCGGCAACTGGACCCAGTGCATATATTTGCCTCGTCCTACTCTGTGGTCGGTTACTTACTTACGCCCGTTACCCCCCATGGAGAGGCATAGGAAACCCGCCAGCATTCTATATCCAACTCTGTCTTGTGCAATCCTTTCCAGTTGCAATTCATCTTCTTTATATCTGTTTCAAACTACTGACGGTGTGTTCTTTGGTCTTTCTCTTTTTCGTTTTCTTCCAGCATTCCAGGTTAGCGTTTGCCCCGTGATGCATTTTGATGTTTTCTTCAGTGTGTCCTATCCACTTCGAGTCTCTTCCTAATTTACTCCTCAGCTGAAAGCTGGTTTTTCTCTCTCAAGGTAGGCTGTTGCTTATGGTATCCGACCAACGGACATTCAGTATGTTACGCATACAATTGTTTATAAATATTTTTACCTTTTTGATGATAGTTGTAGTAGTTCTCCAAGTTTCAGCTCCTTACGGTAGGACTGTCTTTATGTTCATACTGAAGATTCTGACTTTGGTATTGGTTGGTAGTTGCTTTGTGTTCAGTATGTTCTTCAATTGTAAGAATGCTGATCTTGTTTTGCCAATCCGTGCCTTCATATCTGCATCAGATCCTCCTAGTTTATCGTTTCTATTTCCAAAGTACGTGGAAGTGTTCATCTCTTCCAGAGCTTCTCCACCAAGTGAGATTGGGTTAATTTTCTCTGTTGTATTTGAGGATTTTGATTTTTCCGTTGTGTATGTTGAGGCCTACTGATGCAGAAGCTGCTGCTACGCTTTGTCATGACCTGTATTTATTGATGTGTATGGGATAGAAGGGCAAGGTGATCTGCGAAGTCCAAATCGTCTAACTGCATCCAAGCTATCCATTTTATTATGTGCTTCTCGTCATATGTCACGGTTTTTATAATTCAGAGGAAAAACAAAGAGGGAGAGTAGGCAGCTTTGTTTGACTCCGGTCTAGATTGTGACTGACTAACTCGAAAAACTGAATATTTCATTCATTCGTTCTTGCTTCATTGCATTTTTTTATAATATACGTATGTAAGAATGGGTTCAAACTAGGAATCCGTTGACTCGAAGCTGGATGTTTTAAAAATCAAGACATCAGTGTACAAGTACGCATTTAATATTTACCTTTATTAATACCAGTCTGACCCACCACTTGCAAATAATGATTAATTGTATTTATCACGAAGTTTTCAACTATTAGTACTAAACTCAATTTCTTTTTTTTTAAACTTTGTGACCTTTTGATTTGATTCCCATGCAGTGAACATGTATTTACTTTCACTCGGAGTTAATTTTCCCCGAGCTTCTAGGGGATATGAAATCCATGTACGTTGATACAAAGTACTTAACTAAGTACTAAACACATCACTTGATTAGTGATTATTTGTAAGGCTAAACTACTGTTCATACAAAAGACTGAATTATGAAATGGCACATAAAATATTGTTTATTAATTTTGAACCTACAATAAATCGTTTGTAGTGTACTGGGCACCATGGTGCTTGGACCTGTTGTTTCAGAAATATAACATCAGGATCACTATCTGCAGGCTTACGACGACTCGCCATAGGACCTCGTAGTGCAATTGCATCAGCAGTCCTAAGACGGGCAGAAACGAATGCTGCGGGACCCACAGGAGTTGAAGTTGATGAATCAGAATTCTGATTTGTCTTATCAACTGAAAAGTATTATGAAAGAAAACAGACACGACTATATGAAATATGGTTCCGAATATTCTAAACCTACATCTTTAACTAATTAATAATGTATAAATTATATAGATAAATTAGACCCTAAAAAATTTATTCGTCAATGAAATAAATGATATCCGAATAAATAAGAAAAATATAGGTAAAAAAGATGACGTTCATTCCATAGGTAAGGATACAAATGCAGAGACTGGTACTAAAAGCATCAAATCGCCACATACAAGGGAAAAAAACAAATTAGTAAATGATGCCTAATTAAAAAATGAATGCTAAATAAAAGTAATATATAAAAGGATCCAAGAAACAATACAGATGAAGAGGCTTAAAAATTGTCAGTTGTGTGAGGCAGAAATCTGTCACAGAAACTGACTTTATGAAAGAAACACGACTTAAAACCATTAGTAACTCAAAGCAGATGACTTAAACGGATGTAATAAAACGAGATTTATTGCCCAAATTCTGGTTCTGTCTCAATATATCGATGGAAAAAAACATCGTTACCGAAACGAAAAAAGCGACGAGTAGTTGTCAAAAACGCTGAGAAAACTAGCTTTTAACAATAACCTTAAACCGACAAAAGTTCGTTGGATTACTTAAAGGAAAAATTATTGAGTTTTGGTAAGAAAAATCCAAAAATGCTTATGAAGAGTACTATAGGTTACAATATACAGGGCCGAATATCTAGACAGCTATTTATTCTTTAAAACACAAGCCTCAGTTTGTACAATGAGTCAAATACAGGTACCTGTACTCATAATGATGAAAAATAATATCATTGCAATCGCATAAATAAACTAATTTCAGGGTTTGAGAATTCTCACTAATGTGAATAACACTAACTCTAATAAAGTGTAGACAATTAGACCTGTTGAAGGTTGATAAGTTCAGATGAATAGTGCTCAGAATTCGCAAGTACTAATCATTTAGCAGTTCGTCCACACGTAACACCTAGAAGACATAACTGATTAAATACATGAAATTCATGCATATTATCCATTATCGCAAAACCATATTTCACAGATGTTAAGAACTAATGAATACCACTTAAGACGAGATTTACTAAGTAAACAACAAGGCTCAAGTTTTCTTTATGATATGATCCAAATAATTTTCTGTTACTCCTATCACCAACTGTGCCTCAAAATGTAAAAAACGTAACGATATAGCGGATCAAATATAATACATCTATAGAATAAGCCAATAAAAACATTTTGTTAGGCTGCTTGCAACTGTATAAAGTAACACTTATGGACAATTTGAAAAACGAACGATTTCGGTAATTATTACAGTAAATGGATACAATATCGGTCATCAAAATGACCTACAATAATAAGACGTGGCCGTGTGATGACTGCTCATGAAACGAGGGTATTGATACGACCCTTTGGATAAAGTGATACAAGAGACAACTGCCGATCCACTGACCAGATCTGTCGTATAAAACATCAAGCCTACAGACAGATTAATCACACAAAAACAAATATGCTTAGAAAATCAGTTTTGCGGATTACTTTCCAATAAATTGAGACTAGATCGTCAGGCCTAAATCTTTCCCGCCATATTACACTTCCAAGTCGTATGTAGCACGAAGTGCTAGTTTGTAATCTAAGTAATGGATATATCATGTGTGCTGCACCTCAAAGTGTGATTATTACATGATAGCTAACCAAAGTTTCACATATCTAGGAAGAATGTAAATTGATGGGATGTGGTAGTTACCAAGATTATCTTGGTTATATCCAACTAGTAGAATGCATTTGAAATGAATAAAAGTAAAAAGAGGGACACTTCATATAGAAAAAATGTAAACGGTACTCTTTCAACCTCACTTTTGAAGTGGCACTAGATACTAAATTACAGGCAAAAGCTGGTTAGGAAATCGGGGGTGGATCTATATCGAAACTATATATCGAAACAGAATATGAATTAGTTTCACTTCGAAGAGACGTAACAGTAAACAGAGATGGCTAAGACTCCGAGAAAAAGATACATACCTTTAGCTGCTTCTTTACACGTATCCAAAACCAAAGAGTCTCGTTTAAGCGGTATAAAGTGGCATTCATCTAGTATGTCAAACACAGATATACGGCTTACCATTGACAAAGTACCCCAGTAACGTCCTCGGAAATGCGACGGTGTTTGACCGAAGTAAATATGTGTCTCTTAAAGGATGATAATATTGAAGAAAAACAGATACATACATCTGCTCCCCAACAGATTCAACAAAAGAACTCCGCCCATCCTCAACAACAAATTCAAGCAAATCAAGATTCGGCTTAATACGAGCTTCTTTAATTGACTCATTATCTAGTGTGTGATAATTCTCTCGATTTTTATACTTAATAATATTAAGTAGGAAGGTAATATAAATGACCTACCAAAAGCAATAGGATTTGCTTCTGCATAGCTGGGGATATATAGCAGTCAATCTTCAAGCATTATTGGATTCGAATACTTTTACCTCTTTCAAAACTCCAGGTTCATCACTGCCAGACTCCGCAGGCACATCCATTCTATTAAGTAACCTCGGTCACTCTTATGGATCTGATTGGTCCATGAGAGTGGAGCGAAATACAAATCAACATTTCAATATCAACGGTAACAATTACATCAAGCACTGACAATTTAAATGAACATGACACCACTCGAAAGAGCCAGACATCACGCTTATATAAACACTGAAAAAGAAGGATATTCTTACGCTCTGTTTGATTGCTTCAGATTGGATAGTGTTAATTTCATACTCCTTGAAATGCTCCACCCACAAGATAATGAAGGATGACGAGAGTGGTCATTTGCAGTAGCATAAACCATGGATCAGCTGTGTTGGTTGTCTAAGGTATGGTGGGAGTGTCTCGAGTGGGGTTGCTATATTATATGACCAGAATGCCTGACTAAACACATTTATTTGGCAGTGTCGTTTTTAACTAGCAATACTGTAGTGACAATGAAGTATAATGAGTTCCCAACCAAATGGTCTTCGGGACTGAACATGCCTTGACTTAGAGGATTTGCAAGAGACACTGTACGATTTATGAGGACTGGTAGAGGTCAATTGAAGTCGGCGAGGGTACTTTATCAAGACTTCTAGCACCGATCATACGACGAGGCCACTCTAGTAGTTTAATCTTTATCGTAAATATGTGACTCTGTCAGTAATCTTGGGTGTTTTTACAAAAGGTTCTTACAAAACAACACTCCTGACTACCTCAGTAGGATGGGCTGTTATACATAATTAAGTGATTCGACGTAAAACCACATAAATCGAGAAACTACCATTTCTCAAACATTTAGTATGTCAATTCAAATAGGCTACCGCAAGGGGCACACTTCAAAGATTGCACGGGGAGCCATTCTCTATAAATTTTCAGAAAGTTTTGGGTTTGCAATTGGCAATGATTTTTTCTCGCTTGGACCACATTGGGACCAGGTATGTCATAGTGAACAAATTTCCCACTTTCTGGAGGTCTTTCTCAAAACCAACAATGTTCTAAAATGTATAAACATGACTGAATGGTAGTATTTTGTCTATTTTTTTGTTCGTACCATCTGTATGGTGGTTGGCTTAGACAATCTGATACGTGTTAAGCATACCGGTTTGACAGGTAACCAAAGTCAGACAGAAATGTGCTCGTATTTCCATCTCTTGACGATTCTCCCAAATTTTGTTATCAGCATAGAGTATCAATGAGGATCTTATGACAAACTGCATATAATATAACTGATAACCGGATCACGCGAAACCCGTCTATGTATTGGTTTTGAAATAGTTTTGAAGATGGTTCTTGTCTTCTGCCATAGACTAGTAAGATAACTCCAAGCCACCAAAGGTGCTCTGCCATCTCCAGGCTTTTCAGAATTAAAAAGGAACGTATTGCGTGAAACTTCATCAAGGGCCTAAATAAAAATTAAGTACATTAAATTTGCCAATTCTCTCTAATCTCGATATTGTATCCAGATCCGCTTTACCGAAAGATTTGTCATGGGTGATGACCCATCCTAAAAATCGTACTGCGGACTGTTTTCGTTAGTTTAATCGGTCTTTACTACTAGGGCTACTGTTTGGGTCCGGTTTTGTTCACATAATTAATATGACCTCCTTCTAACTCCCTGGTGAAGTACGCTGAATGTATGACATTCCCAGTATTATAGTGTCGGGACAACCGTATTCATCGTAAACTGTCTCAATCACCGTGAATGTAACTAATTCAACTCTGTCGATCTTCACACTTCTAAAGAGTAAACTACCGTTGTAGTGAACGAACACTGAGGTCGGGAAAAACAATTTACTGTCTTATGCAGAATTATACAGCACCTTCGTAAAATATGAAAATAATACATTCAATACATTATTTACACATCTTCATTCATTAGTCCTACACATACCCCTTCATTCCTCAAATCATGTTGTCATTCTAATTCCTCTCTGTCTACATCCTTCTTCTCTTCATTTAAAAATTCTACTGCTACATACTACTTGTGCATGTCAACATAAGTAACACACACCATACTATTAGTCAAGTCTGAAGTGAGTAATCAACTCCATGACACACCTCGTTCGAATTCTTTGTTGACAGGAGGATTACGTCTAACAACGTTGTCACGGTAAATGGTCACGGCATCTGTCTTGTCCTGGCCATTCTTTGTCACACGACACCTGTGTTCACTTCATTATTTATGATGGTAATCATTTCGTAGTGCACAAAATTTGCTGAAGATAAGTTCCATATTTTATTTCGGATCGACATGTTAGGATAATAAATTACTTTCAAACCGACATACAAGAGTTACACAATATTAGCTGCTACAGGACTGAAGGTAACATTTCAGAGGTTTTCTTTCGTTGAAACAAGTACTGGAATTTACGTTGAGTTAAGTAATTTTGTATTTTTTGTGTGCTAAACCTCTGCGAATTATAAACAGTCGCGTTAACTAGTAATATAACTTCTTGGAGCAGCCCCATCAGTCACACCACTTATGCTCGTGAAGCTTACTGTGATTACCTACACGCACGTTACTAGCTTAAAAGTCAGTACCGTTTTACAGAAAAGAGAAGGCCTACGTTCATATAACAATACGGAAGGGATCGTAAATGTAACTAACGTAACCTTTGCAGGAAAAACGCCTCATGAAGTGAACTAATAATGGCCTATGCTCAATTTTAGTTGCCTTAGATAAACAAACATTACGGATTTTTACATTTTAAAACCATCCAATATGATTCAGAAGCATTCCACAAGAAATAAGGCCTCATATCTAAACATGAAAAGTCATGGATTTGTTTTAATGATGGACTAAGGTTCAGTGAAAAATGCTTCAAAGTGTAAAGTAGTCCATCTGATACGTGATACAGACTACACATACAAAGTTGATGATTCTCCTCCAAAGGTGTCCAAAGATGAATAGGGTATGATAGTTTTGACGAAACGCTTTCCGAGCAAACATTGCAATGGTAACGTTGGAGCGCATTTTTGGCAAGCTTGACTTTCTAATCTTTATTCAATCTCTAACAACTTCGTTCAACCACATTTGGAATGAAAAAATGAAGTGTCTCCTCCCTTACTTCAAAGAAATAAAAATATAGTGGAACGTATCCAAAGGCAATCCATGAAACCTCCTTGAGGAATCCCAATCGAACGTTGTGAAGTGTGCCTCGAATCACTAGAGCTTTACAAATTAGACTTTAGGCGCCTCACAGATGTCTTTCCGGACCGCCAAGCGGATGCAGACAATGGAAATGTAACAATTCATCTTTTACTTAGAAAACTTAGCGAAATCACCCGATAATTGCTTTTAATAATGATAAGAATGTGCACAGCTTCTTTTGGAGTGTTTAAATTCATCGTTCCTGATTACTATAAGTGATTTAAATCTCGGACTAAACTCATAGACGGCCAACCAAGTGGATGATAGGGTAGACCACAAATATTGCCAAGACAAACTACAACACAGCTGTGGGAGAATAAGTGGTGCTCTGATTATGGTATACAACATATTAAGTACTATAAGTCACCCAAATGCGCGTATCCTACATAAACAACACCACGTTCCTCGAGACAACCATCGAAAGATTGCAGATCAAAGAACGAAAACCCAGGTACGCTCTTTCTTTTTTCATTAAGAGTTTCCCCTATTGGTAGTGTTCTCCCAACCGAAGTGACCACAGCCCCCTCAGTGAATGGCTTCAAGAGAAGACTTGGCAAACACGTACTCATCCATGGATCACCATCTACTCTTGAAACATTTGTGTCGAATGCGTGTCTCGTAACTTGCATACTGTTGTCATTATCTCATCATTAACTTGTTTCTATTTCGCTTATTATCATCTCCACTTCCTCTATTATTCCTACACTTCTGTATTCTCATAATACGTGCATTGCCAATCAGTTTTCCAACTCATTTATTTCTTAAAACAATCGTACTATCCTAGTATCCGAATTATCACTATTATTTTTCAGATTTTAACCAACCAGCGTCCTGTATGTTAATGTGAATAGTGCCGGTATCCATAAACCCTACTATCATGGGACAGAGGCACTCACTAGGACTAGAAGATATAGAAATTCGCTGATGACTACTGAAATTCTTGGGTTTAGTGCAGTAGAGTGGCTATTCTGCTAATCATTGAACGTGTGAGGGATAGTGTGAGTGCCAAGTCAAACCCACATGATTCGTTCTAGCTTCTGAACAAGCCAATCTATTCATTTTTCTAAAACCACATTTTGAACTATTCATTTATTGACTTATTTAATGACTGTTTTTAGATGAGTCAATGTGCGTGCAAATCTTATCGTACTCATCGCATGTCTGTGATTTACTTTTTTGTGACCATGAATATTGATTAACACTTGATTAGCTCCAGTTAGCTCACTTGCCCACTAGAATCCACTTTGCTCTTGCCTCTCTGTTTCGTCTCCCCGACTGCCTGTTCAAATCACTAAGTGCATGAAATACACATTTTTAAAACTCATTTTCTTACTTAGCCTATTCAATATAATAATATATATTTCTGCAAGAGCAGGCACACGCCATTTTTATGGGAATTCTGTTATTCACTAACTCCAGTTAACACGATAATTATTTAAGAGAACGGGCGATATATATATATATATATATATATATATATTTCAATAACAATTATTCATCCGATCAAACTGGATTCATATTCCTGCGCCACCGAAAACGTTACCGAATACCTTTAGTCGCACCAAAGCAACAAAAAGAGTGCGAAATTATCAACCTTTATTACATGTTCGTGCGAAAGACGTTAAAAGACATATACCATAAATTATTCAGCCTCCTGTGCTTTCCACTCTAAAAACAAAATTAAATGGTGCTTCTAATGGTCTAAATAGTTGTAGGCGGAATAAAAGAAGCTTCCGTGTCTAGTAACAGTGGATCACCAATTCCTCTAGGCTGGAACCTAGGCATACTGGCGATAATAGAGGAAAAAGAAATTGGTAAATCATAGTAAGATACCACCATTAGTCCTTAAGAATATGTCAAGTTTCTTCTTGAAGGACTCCTGGGAAGTCGCTTGGACTAACTCAGCCGGCAGCGAATTTCAGCATTTGACCTCTCTTAAGGAGTGCAAGTTGTGTCTACAGTTCGTTCGGTTGTGCTGTGTCTCCAGTTTCTGAGTGTTACCCCTTAGGTTT